AGGAAAATAAAAAAATAAAAAAAAAAAAACGTGGTACTAGTTCCTTGAGGATAACTTCAATAAACTTTGGGCTAACCTTCTTTATGCTTGTCAAGTAGAGCAAGCTGATCTCCTCGTTGCTCAGTGAGCTTTTCGTGGTCAATCGAAACAGGTTTCAGCTCCAACAGCTCGGCATCGAACTGACTGATCCAGTCGGCCATTCTGTAACATTTTAATTTGAACTTACGAGATCATCTTTCGATTGGCAATCAACAATTCTAAATTGAAGTTCCCCTTATTAATAACAAAATTAACACTTGTAATCGTTTTTGAATGAAAAATGAAAAGAGCACATGGAGGTTGCAAGCCTTTTTTGAGCATAGCAACAATGCCTTACGCATACCTCTGTTTCGCATCCTCAAAGTCGTTTTCTAAACGACCAACTTCTTCCTGTGTCGAGTACTTAGAGTTCAATTCCTTGTTCAGATTATGCAATTTCTCATCAGCATTTCGTATCTGAAACAACATGGAAATCATTTTGAAGTAGGCGCAAATACACCAGAAACACTAAGAACTCGTACCACGCGATCCACCAATTGGGTTTCCGTTACATTCGGTATTTTCTTAATGGTCTCAGCAGTTCTCATCATATCCGTCAACTGGGAGTCTAGAGCTTCGAGTTCGGAAGCGATTTCATTGAGCCCTTGATCATCTCGGGCGCTCATCGTCCGCAAAGTTGCTGAAGTTGCGTCACAGGAACGGTCCAGGGCTATTCCGAATGCCTCCAAAGCTATAACTCCTTCGAGGGCGTCATTCACATTGTCACGGAATCCCTGGAAAAACGACACATTTCGGCTGAACATAGCTCTCAACCACATCCGATAAAGTTTCATACCCTAAGTTCTGTGCTATTTTTCTGCAGACGGGAAACGGCGTTTCTTAGTTTCTGTTCAGTATCCTCTACCCATCCTGGTGATCCAGCGCCAGCCAGCTTCTTGAGATCATTCTCGAGATCGTTGGTGAGCGACAGCCGGCTGTCCAGGTCCATTCTTAACATCTGCTCCTCGCGTTTCTGCAAGATATGAAGTCAAGCGGAAAGAGGATTTTGAGATTTCAAAGAGGTTTTCAAAGGTGGATTTCACGAGAAAATGTAGCCCATTCGAAAATTGAATGGAAGATGGTCCACGCTGTTTGTAAAACCACTACTGCTTCCTGAAGCTGGAAAGTAGTTTAGAAAAGGGTTGTGTCCGAGGTTTCAGGGTTAAGGTTGTTGGTATGCAAATATCGACCCTTCTCCCACCATGATACACTACAAAGCACACCCAGTGTCAAAAGTAGTGGCCTACATAACCGGGGCAACACGACGATCTATCTTTCCTCCTGCTCCATCATTCCTTGTTCCTCGGCGACCCCCTGGAGGGAACAGCGCGCGCCTTAATCATTATTCCTTAGCCAATTACACATCAACAAGTGCCACAAATAGAACAGCACACTTAAGGCAAAGTTCGGGCTCA